TTTTTGGGAGAATATACTGGGTGACAACTCACCGGTGTCTCATATATACTAATGCTGTCCTCTCCTAAACGACCAAAAAATTTACCCTGGGCACTCCATCTATAGAAACAAAGTATAAAAACAATACATATAAACTCTTCTCAAATTTACAACTGCAGCTTACAGTCTGTTCTCATTGCTACTACAAATGAAAAGACCTTACCTAAACACTGGCCACTGAGATTGATCTCCGCAAATAAACCCTCTCTTTTTTGTTCCTGTTCGTATGTCCCAGATTACTATGGCCTGAGAGGGAGAAAAAATTAAGTATTATGACGACATACACTGAAATGTGCAGAACTGGAGAGGAGAATAATTGATTTGATCTTATTGAAATCAACCAAATAATTTATTAATAACAATAAGTCAATAATAAAAACTATTACGAATTGACATGTCTCCCTTGAGAACATAGCAAGATTTGTTGCCATGCATGATTTCTCCAGACACTAACTGAACAGAACATGTAAGGTTTAAATGGAACAGGACTGATGTGGAAAATTTTGTGAAAATGAAAAACTCCAAAGTGCTGTAATACCTGTGGATCATCAGGATTGTCTACTAGAGGACTAAAGGTCACCAAATATCTGCACAAGAAAGAAAAAAATAAATGATAAGGTTTCACCTACTTTATCTAGCTTCTGAGTCAGAGCCAGGACCTGGCTATCAATGCTAACATACATGAGACAGTGTCAAACTACTTTGACATGTGAAATATGTGTAAGAACATTAATTCAAGGTACTTCAGGTAATTTATTCCACTCCACCTCGTTGGCCACCAAGGTGACTTCTGTCTTAAAGAGTTAAGAAGATCCTCAGGAAACCATGTTAAATAATGTCCATATGGTTAAGTTAAGTTATAAAGGACTTTTTCCACCTTTGCACTCATGTAGCCTTATCTAATCATGAGGAAGTTGGAAAATTGAAGATAACTTGGGACCCACTCATGCAGCATTACTGTGACAGGAAATAATTTCCCAGCAACCAAAAGTATCATTGACAATTTGAGGCTACAATCCAGCACACATGTACATCTGAAGTGGAATTTCTGAAACAGCAATGCTACAAAACTAACAAATAAACTTGGTTCATACAGTATTTAACAATGTTTAACTAAAATAATAATAATAAATATAATAATAATGATGATAATTAATCAGTATGTAAACAACATGCACCTTTCGCAGGGCGAGAAATCTATGAGCTGGACTCCTGGATGACTGAACCTCATCAGCCTTTTGAATTCTTCTCCACCCCAGAGAGCAATACCCTGGTGATGGAGAGTTGCTAAATATGTGCCTCTGGGTGACCAGCGTACATATGTTTCAGTCCAGTTCTGAAGGAATAAGCGAGAGAATTGGAAATGAACCGTAATCAGAGGACAAATATTAACTAACTTCTACACAGCAAATCTAAATGTATTTGGAATTTTAGCAGGGAGTCAGCCAAATTGACCAATCAGATTGCAACATCACTGCCAATTGTAGTAAATTATGTAATGCTTGTTTCTTCTCTCTTTGTTGTTAATCTACCTTACCAACTCTTACCCTGAGAGGTTTCTTTCTTTATCAATCAGTGCAAGTGCAATTCCCCAATTCTTTATTCATTAATGTGTTTGTGTCCTTAGGCACAAGAATATTCACATCACAGTGCATCTCTTTACTGAGGGTTATAAATGGCCAGTGGTGAATTTTCATTGAAACTTGAAAAAATGTGGAGAGAGAACCTGCAATGAGTTGGGTTCATATCCATGAGGTACATGTATTAATACTCCTGGTTGCTTCAAGCTACAGAACTGGAATAAGCTCTGGCAGGATGGACCTATGGCTTGTAAACTGACTATTTTTGACACTCATGCTGGCTTACCAGTCTCTCTTTTGATAGAATTGGTTCCTGTTGGGTATTCCACATGATTGCAACTTTATCTCCTCCTCCATGAATCAAAGAATATTGATCATTACAATCCTGATCCAAAAGCCAAGATCTCAAATTTTCCTGAAAACATGAAGGTAACCATGAACCTTTTCCATTGCTTCTGTTCTATGTTTGCTTGTTCCATTAACTTTTTAAACAGGTAGGAATAATTGTGATGTGTATGTGGTGAGACAAAATGATTGGAAGAGCCTAGATTAAAACTGCAGCAGATCTGTGTCTATGAATGACTTGAAGTAATAAAAGATATGATCAAGCATCAGTTTGATTCTCTCCCAGTTCTCAGCACTTCAATTCAGTAGCAGAACTGGCATAAGGAGAACTTCATCATTTGCCACATTTAAAATTACAAAATTAAGTAAATATATAATACTCAGTTTCAATCCTAAGGAGTTTGAGAAACCTGGTCCGAATTAACCCACCTGTAGGCTGTCAGAACAAGCTCAAAACTCTTTTTACCCCACAAAGCATAGCTGAATGCACCATGCAAGCCATGTAAGGGTTAATTTACCATCAAATTGCTTACATCTCTCTGTACCTCTAATTCAATTTTCACTCACCTGCTGAACATAGGGTTGTTTTGTTGGAGCTTGCCAGTCCTTTGTCAGGCTAACCAACCTAGAAATAATTGATGTCATCTCCTGTTACTTTCACTCATGATAACTCAGTACAACCTGAACACAATGTGTCAAAACAACTTGTCATTAAAACTCCTCCTGGATGACAGACTTACTTGTCAAAGTCCTCAAAATGATTAACAGCAAATATGTGATGTTTGTCTAGCTTGTAACCATTAGCTGTCTTCACAGCTTGTGCTGCATCTTTAGCATTAGAGAATTCCAAGAAAATATACCTGAAAATTGCAGAGTATTAAAAAATAAAAAGATGAAATAGCTACATTCTTGAAATGATCGATCAAGAATGGCTCAACACTCATACCCTTTTGTCATTCCATTATCATCCAATGGATAATGCTCAGTAATGATCTTTCCAAACTTTGAAAATACTTTACGGATCACGTTCTTTAACTTTTCGAGTCTGTCTGGCGGGATGGTAGGCACATTGTCAACAACAATGATGCAATCAGTCCCTTGGACTTCTTTGGGTTTCTCTGCCAAGATATCTCCCAAGAGTTCTGTATTTGAGGAAAAATTTTAAGTTACATGTTGTGAAGTAGGATCTATTCTTCGTTAAATCGCTTCTAAAATCTTCTTAGTTTTATTGGACATTTCCTTGATTCAATTCCCAGACACAACTGTACTTCCTGTCTATTCATTGCAGGATCTGTGGTTAATCAAGACGTACAAAACTTAGATTCAAATCTGTAAACCTACTCAATGGCAAGCTGATTCATTGAGATGGCAACAAAAAAAGATGCCCTTAAGAACATTTACTGACAACCAGTCTCCTTGCTTTTTAAGTAAGTACATCTGTTTCTTATTGAAAGAAGGCAGAGCACAATGAAACCCTAAAAAAAATATGCTAATCTTTTTCATTTTTTTTTTTTCAGATCTATCGCAGTTGAAGGGTTACTATGGGTTCCCAGTTTATTCACCGTTTAAACGCTTTATTTGTTTTACCTCGCAATTTTACTATGAAAATAAAAAGAGAACAAAGGAAATATAATATAAGACCAGTTGGTGCAATCAATCCTTCATATATAATGAAATCGCTGAAAACTTCCAGTTTTACCAGTTAAAAACAAGTAGATAAAAAAGTACATTCTCGTTTTTGCAATGAAATCCAAAATGTGGAGTCTCCAGTGTAAAACATGAAATAATCCCTGTAAAAAGTTACTTGGGACAACGGTATTGGACGGTGTGATATAGATTGGTAATGTAAACTTCCTTTGCAACACCCACCCATTTAAAGATCTTCAATAATAGAAATAGGGGGAAATTTGCTGAATTTCAACCTACAAATTATGTTGTCAAGGAGAGAAAACCAAGACGACCGCTATTTGTTGGTCTAAAGCTATGTTCGAAAAACGTTTAAAGCCCTGAATATTGCATGCACTCTTTCGCCAAAGTGAACAGTTGCTGAAAATCTATTCGTGTAAGAGGACATAATTACATTGAAAAATCATTCATAGTTCAAGAACAAATAAAAGGGAGAAGGAATCCCCTGATTGTGGCCGAAAAAGGAGTTTACGACGTTCGTTGTATGTACCGGCAGAATTTCATTACCGAAGCTTACATTTCATTGAGGAGAAGTACATGCCGGCCTATTGTAGAAATTAGTTTTTACCACGAGGGGTACTAAGTGGTGAAAACACAAGACTTGGGGTGATCTCAAATTTTCGTCCATCGAAAATAATTTTTCGACTCAAAAATTCCAAAATCTAGGTATGTAACTGAATATCGGGAAAGTTGTGAATTGAAATCCTTTCGAAGCCAGAAGAGTTGAAACTTAGAATTTACCTTCATCTGTTACTTCATCCACAAAGCCTTCTGGATCATCAAACTCCGGATCATCTTCATCGAAATCGTCTTTTCCGTTAGCTTCAACCTCTTCGTCGTCTTGATCTTCTTCTGAATCGCCACTGCCCGTCTTTTCATCGAGTTCTTTTTCCTCCGCCATTTTCCCGATCATGGCCGCGAGCGCACAGTGGAACACGTGCACAATTACGTATGGTGTGGGGCCCTGGGAAGGAGTAGTCGGGCACAGGGCGCGAAGATTTTTAAATTAAAATGTTACACTCTCTTGACTGCCGAAGAAATCGTTTAACCCTTTAACTCCCAGAAGAGATTCACATGTAACTTCTCCCTAAAATATCTATCCACTGTCCAGCAAACAGGTAATGAAAGTACTCAAATGTATTAGGTAGAAGTTGTTAACTCGATCTAACACCAAATTCTTGTAACTAAGTTACAAGGAAATAAGTAGCAGCTAGAGCAGAGAATTAACAATCACGTCCTTAGAGTAAAAGGATCAAATTATGGTGATTTACTCTCTCTCTCACCATTGAGGTATTTTAATTCAGGCATGTCAATTTTTATTTTTTTACAGAAAGATTTCCCCATAGTCTTAGACTATTCTAATTATCTATTGTCTTCCTTTTCAAAGAACTCATAATGAAGTGTGAATCTTGCCTTAGTTACTTACTGATTCAATTTTCCTCAAAAGAATGTTTTCATCAAGTGACTGCAATAAATTGAACAGCTTATGTGGGGTGCAAAGAAGATTTTGTAGGAAGTCTGAGTAAGAAGACAGTTTATGAACTTGTTTGCTGCAAAATATTGCCAACCATTTGTAATTTCTGAGCAAATTTGTCATTTAATTAACCCATTAACCCCTTTGAATGGAAGAGTAGAGTAAAACAAGTTAAACATGAAGGACAAAGCTGTAAATCCTAAGTAGGTAATCAAGAATTACCTGCTGCCAATTCCATTTAGCACCTACATCCCTTTCACTCCCAAGATCTCATTGAGGAATTCTCCTTACTGTCTGCCATACATTTCTTGTTGTTAGTTTAGAGAATTTGGTATTGGATCAACTACTAATCCCCTAATTGATATTTTTTATATTCTTAACACCAATCTAATGTTCAGGACTAACTCTTAACAATGAACAGTAGTAGATCTTTATTCAGTAAAGAAT